TTTAATCTTCTGAAATGTTTATTTCTGCTTTTTTCAATGATATGCATCAAGTGTCCCAAAGAGTTTTTAATGAAAAACGTGATATTAACACCGTATTCGTGATATCCTATTTCATCCATAAAATCCCGACGTCAAAACGTGATTGAAGTTGATACAGGTTCAGTTTTCCGTTACATCTTAACGAGAGATTTCAGGCATATAAGGATCCCAAGCGCAAATCTGACGAAATGTAATAAAATTAAGGAAACTTTCTTTCACGATATTACATTCAGGAGGAAAGCTGGAAATACCAATCAATGAAGAATTTATATACGTACTTAAGTAGTAAGATGATGCATTTTTAACAAGACACAACATGTTTCTTCTTATAAAAGCACTAAATTATTATAGTCCAAGCTAAAGTTCAATGGTATTGAACGTCGCTAAAATTATAATGCAATTGTTTATTTAACACAAGTTACATGTAATACTATACTAACTAATGGTGAAATACTTTACAATTGATTTCAATTTATTTATATATTTTTCCTCATTCTTAATGATTGTAATGATTGTTCACATTGATCTTCGAACGAGAACACATATGTTATTGAAGATTCCGCTATTATGGTTTAATTTATAACTTTTACAGATGAAAATATTTACATATATTTTCTGTATGAGTTATGAGTTTATATTATTAATAAATATTATATAAAACTATCTTGCAAGAAATTTCTGCTTATTTAAGAAAATTTGCTACGATTAAATAAATAAATCAATTTTTGGCAGCTACAATTTTATGCAGCATACATACGCAATAGACAGATTAATTAGTTATAATTTTAAATAAATAGGAGTATTAAAAAGGCATACATTTTTCGAATTTAATAAATAAAATTTGACCAATATGTATATTAATTTTATTTTTCTCTCATTATATCAAGTTTCATTCAGTGTAAAAATAAAAAGGATACGAATTTTTTGTGGATTCAGTTATATTGACAAACAGGAGCAAAGAAGAAAGCCAATCTTTTATGTTGACTCCAATGTCTGTAGATAGGGTTTCAGGCGTTTTAGTGATAAAGGTCAACGCTACCACCTCTGTGAACAAGACCAATGCTCCGCGAAATAGCCTCGAACCGATCTATGGAACATTTTCTCTTCTTTAACCTGACATTCGCACGCTTAGTAAAGATCTCACTTAGATTTATAGCCTATATATAATCCTCGTAGTATGCTCTGACAAGTGGAGTCTCCCGAACTATTTTAAATAAGAATCTTACAATTCTATCCTTTTTATGCTCTCTCTTAAACATCTGTCCAATTTAAATCTGTCAGAATGTGTTATCGACGGCGGTCAATAAAATTATTGATTTATATATATTATTGATTATATTGTTACGGTTGTTACGTATAAGAAAAATTAATTATGTGTTACTCTTCATTTTTGTTTTAGTGTTCACAGAGTGTACATGAAATTAGTTTGTTCTCTAATATATAATTAAATACTTACTGTGTTTTTTAATTTTTTGGTTTGATTAAACAAGATTTAGGACAAACCTGACAAAATCAAAATCAATTTTTTAATGTTAAGGTCCAGTTCTAACGTGAAAGTTTTAAAAACACGATATGTGTATTTCTATCATTTTTTTCATTGTTTATGTGTTGCATTTACAATGCATTTTTAAAGGCATCTTCAAAAGCTTAAAAGATCATAAATTACGACATTTCGTTAAAATTAAAGACAATATTTGCGAACAAACGAAGGGTATGTACTCGACTATGTATACTCCAAATTGTGGCACTAAATTAATATTTAATTGTGTAAATATTGTATCAATTGTTTATTCGAGAAGTGAAGAAATAGTAATAGTCAGATAATGGTAATAATAATAATAAAGTTTTAGAATTCTAAGGTACTATGTTCCTATTACTATAAAACTATATTATTATATTATCTGCTATAGGTATGTATGGTCTTCAAATAGAAGGTCAATGACGGTTTTAAAAATTCTTATGCGAAGCATGGTCAGGTTTTTTCGAGAGTTTTTCTTAGTATGGTAAATATTATTCAAATGATAGGATGAAGATCTCAAGGAGATATTAATAAATTTACTTATTTAATAGAACTCTATTTTATAGTACATACATTTTCCCTAGAAAATAAAATTCTGACATTGATGTTGTCATAAATTTGTATTTTTTTAAAGTATTTGAATGACAGTAAAACTTGACTTTTATCTTCAAGCCTCCATATACGGAGTAGTGTACCAATAATTCTTATACTATCCGAAAAAGATAATTCTACTTTTCAAGAAGTAGGTCAAACAATAAATTTTGATACATGAGGTAGCGTCACAATATTCTCCCTTCGATAAATTATTTAAAGGAAAACGGTTCTCTTGCGGAAGAATTCAAACTTAGATTTCAACGTAGAAGAATATTAAAGAAAGTATTGAAAACTTTTGAAACAATACGGCTTTCCTTTCTAACCTTGCAGTTCAATCTTTTCGTTACGCCAACTGTGCCGAAGCCAACGGATTTAATCCGCGATAAATTCGGCCACAAGGTACTTTGCTTAAACCAACCATGACAAAAGTTTCCAGAGTGTTCAGCAATTGTCCTCTAAGACGGATCAAGTCTGAAGTCAGCTTCAAATTTACATTTGCTTAAATCAGAAATTTCCTTAAATACTTTAAGTACATGATAATACCTAAGTATTGATAAATTTAAGATTTTTCACGTGGATGTTCATACATTTTTTGTCATCAATTCATCGAATGACTTTTCTATTGAGGACGATAAGAAGTTTTACTTAAAGAGAGGGAAATCATTGTCGGAAATATTTCCAAGAATGCCCTGTGACATGTGCAGAAAGAAAATATAGAAAAATTCATATTGTTATCTATATTACTGTTCAATTTCAGGGATTCGTGCTTTAATTTATGGTTCTACGAATGGAACGGTTTATTTCTCAGGGATATATGAAGTTTACATAATTTTTACATATATAATGGTTTACATTTGGTATAAATTGTTTACTATTAACTTTATATCGCGTGATTTTTCTTATATACCCTTAGACAAATTATATAATTACATGATAATATAATAATTATACAACTTTAATATTATATAAATAAAATATATTATAAATAAATGATAATATAAAATATATAATATAATTTTATATATAATTATATAATAATAAGAAGAAAATAATTATAAATAATAAGAAAAACATTGACTTATTATATTATATTATTTTTTATATAAAATATAATATATTATAATAAGTGATGTTTTTCTTATCAAATAATAAAGTAAAATTAAATTCCTATAATTTTCTCTTCAGTATTTATTACCACTAGATTTACAGACCATCGTTATACACTTTATTCTATTGTTCCTAAAAAAACTATACGTTCGCTCATATAGTTCGCGAAAATTATACCTTCAAAACCAGAGTATTACAATGTATATTCGCATAGTTCCACCAATCAAAATCGATTTAAATTGTTACCAAATAATGTTTAAAAAATTCAGTATCTGTCAAATGTCAATTGAAAATTGAGATCACTGATTCAGAAGAAACTATCTTTAGAACCACAGTCTTTATTAAAAACACCAAGGAAATTTAATTTTGTTTGTATTTCTGCGGAAAACAGTTAAGGGAAAGTACTATTATCAACCTTTGTTTGGTTTCTTTAGATTTTAGTGTATTTTACACTTTATTTCGTATTAGTTATAGTTAAGAACATTTATTGATTCTGAGCAGCCGAAAATTTTGTAAGTATTTTCCTCAGGTCGTTTTATTTCAACCCTGCAGCGCTTCCAGTTGAAACGCTGTGGTTCACAGGTGTTCTAGGAATTTCAGTGGAAAAATGTTTAGGGTCGCCTTTACGGTTGTCTCGTAAACAAGTCTAGCATGCTTCCCTGTAGATAACATTATTATCTTTATCCTTTTGGCAGAATGTTACACGGGGGACTGAGTCAACATGGTTTCCTAGATATAATTATTTCGAGTTGACATGATACAACCTTTGAGATGTCGTATCCGTACACTGATGTATGCATTTTAATAATTATGATTGAAACCATAACATTCATTTTAAATTCCATGTATTATTGATATATTCGGTACCTGATAATATTTGGTATGTACTACACATTTCCAAACGTATCGATTCATGATTGTAGAATTTAACTTCATTCAATTTATATAAGATAATACTTGATCTTCCTCCAATGTTTTCGTACGCGAATGGAAAAAGGAGCATTTCAAACATGCCGATAATTTTTATCGTGAATTAGTGAATGTACTTTCTTCCTGAAGAATTATGTTTTACAAATCATTCATATAAGATGTGAAAAATATATTCATTTTTTTTAGAAATAGCGAAAATCACAATCATTACGTTCAGATTGTTCGTAAAACTAAAGTTTTATTGTTTTAGTCATTGTTATCGTTTATTCGTCATAATTCAATCTTAACGATAGATTTCTTGAATTTATTAGAAAAATCTTAATTTAGAGTTAAACTCGAATCAAAATTTAAGTGCTGAAATTCACTCTGTGAAAACGCAAAAGTTGGAATTTTAATACAGAAATTTTTGCCGTTGAACACTCATTTTCTTGATTTAAATGTTCTATTTAGGGGAGAAAAAGACATTTCCATAAGAAGATGCTCATTCAAGGAAGTTAGTAAACGGAAGAAGAACAATGAAGTTGTAATTGAAAAAAACATTATTTCTGACCACAATAGCAATTTCTAGTTGAGGTATTTTGTTTATTAAAATTGTTTATTTACCTTTTCTTTATTAAAATATGTAACGAAGGGTTATATTCAGTCGATAATGATTTGTTTGATATTTAGAGAGTCTTAGATTATTACTTATGTATTAACTTGTTTAAATGTGATAATATTACTGTATCCGATGAAATTTTGTTTATACAGGTTGGAATTGAATTTCGTTTCGTGCACGACGCGTTTCTGTTCATGATAAACGTAAACTTACCCGTGGGACTTGGCGTCAGCTCCTGTAGGTCCACTTTCACGTGGATGTCGTATCGTTCGAAAAGTTTCAATTTTCGCCCCCTCGTGCTTTTCTGAAGCGTGTTGATGGCATAGGTAAATGCTTTTGTATACTCCCTGACACCAAAAGACGTATGCGGCACCACCATGCCCACCTGTTTTGAAAAAGAAAATTTATCCATGTAAATAATCATTTATTATTATGATTATCTTTCCTGAAATATCATTAACAATTGATGACCGCAGATTTCATTGCACAATTTATCATATAAGAACGATATTTTTTGAAAATTCTTGTATGTTGCATTTACAAAGGTAAACAAACTTGTTATTCTAAATCTAATTGAAATATTGTTATTTATAGCGTGAAATAAGATACTGACTTAGTTTCATTATTAAGAAGTACTTTTAGAAGAACATAATATGTTAACAATGAATATTTCAATACAGCTGGTTCAAGTTTAACGAAATTGTGTTATACATGTTTACTTTTTGTAAAAACTGACTGTTAATAAAATCAACCATTATTAATGGTAGAAGTTCGTATCGTACTCTAGTAGATACTTTTATGTCGATCAGAAAAGTTTTGATTGCAATTTACATGGTGTATAATATATTCGTTTCTATTAAAACATCTAAAACTGTTGCGTCGTGTCGTTCCACGAGGTACGGCAATTAGATCATGACCAAGTTAGGTGTAACGAAGTTAACAGAATATTGTAACTCCGGAGAACCAGCTCTTTTTATTGTAAGTTACAAACGTTTAAGTTTCACAGAACAGACTTGGCTACTCGTAGTGAAGCCGTTTAATTGGATGTCGAAACAGTTCTGGTTGTAACAGTCGCGGAGATGGTTAAGGAAAATTCAGTTATAGATGTGGTCTAAAAAAGTGAACTATTATTGATTGTAGGATGTGCGTGGAAAATGGTGGAAATGGAAAGGACATTTACTGAAATGGAGATTATCTGGATACGTGCAGTTCGGAAGAAATAGAATTCACAATATGCAGTGAACATTGAGTAACTACAACATCGTAAATATGAAAGTAAGACAATCTAAAGTGCAGTTTACTTTATTTATACATAATGAATTGAAATTAATCTTTGGACATATTTTTTATATAACTTTAAACATTTTGATTTTGCAATACTCTATACTGCTCTGCGTTTCAAATATTGAAATAGCTAATGCAAGTGCAAACACGAGTTACCTCGTGACCGGTCAACAATGTTTGGGCATGAAAACATGAATTAACTCACAATCGGTCAACAATGTGTTAACACGCCATAGCGCTCCATGATTGGTCACGATTGAAGAATGTAACATAATCCGTCTATTGTCGAACTCGATGATTTCAACGTTTCTTTCTTTTTTATTCACAATCCTTTTTTATATTCGAAACATCAATCGTTTCTTATACAAGCAATTATGATCGTAATTCTATCGTGTTGGTGTCATTTTAATTAGAGAAACATAATAAAACTTACACTCATAAGAAGCCTAAGATAAAGTAGTTTGATTTTTGAGTTGAAGGCCTTAATCTCATCGCGAGACTTTAATGTTGCCGAACGCTTGAACATACCGTCTGGTATATCATAACCCTTACAGTTGTATTTATGAAATAAATGAAAGATGAAGGGATTAAAAAAAGTTTATATGTTTAAAAATAAAACATGTTACGCATAAACCATTAGCAGTAAAGTTATTTATATACGTCCATAACAAACACCCTGATAAGGTATTGATGATTATTTTTCAATAGGTGCGTAGTTACAAAATATTTCTCGTCAAACATATATAAATTATTTCGAGGAAATGTCCGCGATCATCAAGATAAATACGGTAATTAGTAAGCATTACATTACAGTATTCAGAGGTGCAGAAAAGTGCATCTAGAGCGTTCACTTTATTACCACGAGAATGGATCAGGTCGCACCTGTTGCTCAAATCGATCGCGGCGAATGAATGGAACGTAGGCAGAAAATGGACAGTAAGTTACACTTCTGACTGCTAGCCAACAAACTTCACCCGAGCGGATCACGTCTTTCGTCATTAGACGCGGCAGGAAATGTCAAACAGTGCGGCAGCAGGTCTGGCAACAGCGGAACCATAAATAAGGAAAACTCCGCACGAGTTTGCGGCCAGTCGCAAAGAAGCGCTTCATTCTTCCACGCCTTTCTTCCCCAGAATATATCGTTAATTAGAAATGTAAATTATTCCGGCCTTACAATTAAGAACAGCGGCCGGCTTTTTCTTTGCAACGCGTCGCCATAACTGCTACAGCTCCCGCGTTAGTTTAATTTAACACTTTAAAAATTGGTCGCTTTTCTTTCACCACGTTCCTTATTTCTCCGTCTGCCTATTATCTCACCCATTTTGTCTTCTTGGAGCTATTGTGCTTTCTCTGCTCGCTGAAAGTAATTTAATTCCGTGAAATTCCTCATGGCACATTTATTTCGATTAGTTTACTTTTACGTTCTTTGATCTTTGGAAAATAATTTCGTACCTTTTATTATGCGTTAGCGTTTCCCTTTTATCTTGTACTTTTTCTGTTTCTTTATACTTTTCGTTTGAACTTCTTGTTCTAAGGAATACGCTTTTATTCGTTCACATTCTTTATTTGACCGTTCTTCATTTAAAATTACTCTTAATTTTTTTAATGTTTCACTTCTGGAATTTCTTTTCAGATAGGAACTGTTTTTAAATATTTTAGTGGTTTTATCCTCTTTATGACTTTTTCATACTGTTATCAGTGGATCTTTAAGTTCAAAGATGCCTTATGAAGACACGATCTTCTTATAACTTCTATGAATTAGTTTACGTAATATTTTTAAGACTTTAAAAATAACGTAAGCTTTTGCTGTAAATATAGGCGTACAAATTGATACTGTCAATATTTTTGTTCTTTTATTTGCTTATATTACAGTCACCCGACAACAGTTTCATTTTTAAACATTTTTAACATCCCTATAAAGTTGCCTGTAATATTTTTATTTGCCGAATAACTTTGTTGTGTTTACTTCAAATATTATTAAATTTATTAAAATGCAAGATAATGCGATTTTTATATTCATCATAAAACAACAGAATCTTATATACGCTATCAAATCCTCATTGAATCCTAGTTTCTAAAAATAAGGCCATACGAAAAAACATTTGCTTAATCCTTTCGTCCCGAATGGTACACATAAAAACGACAAATATTTTAAATTGCCGGAAAGCTAGAAAACGCGTATATAAAGAAAAACACCACACAGGGATCTTTGCTTATGGCTGACAGCTTAAGTGGTAATCAGTATACATATGTTTTGGTTGATTAGTGCGCACCCGTACATTTTTTTTTACAAATTTCGTATTAAAAAAGTACATATTCAGGGGCGAGAGGGATAAATATCTGCAGTATATTAACATGTTGTTGAACGCCGTACGATTTTAAGGCGCAGAATATGTGAAACGAAAGAAATATGATATTAAATTTTTTCACCGAATTGCGTTATTATTATCGCAGATTTGACTTGCTGAATGTTACTCCATTAGTAACTGTTATTTACAATATAGGAATGTTTTCAAATAATCATCGTTTAATTAAGGGAATTACAGTAATTGAATTCAGGCAACCAAAGTTAATGATTACATGAATATTTCAGGACGTTCCGTCTCGAATTCCAAGGAGTTCAAGTTTTAAATCGTCTTTTAACCGTCAAAGGAACGTGCAACCATATGTTAGCAAGATTGAACAACAGGTAGAAATCCGATTAAGGTCGACAGTTCGTGTCGCGTAAATTGAGAATAATGACACCCGTGACCAGCAAGGGAATAATGACTCCCTGGTGGTAGATAGACTTTTCCGTGACACGTTTAAAGCGATTAACCTAGCAAATTATACGTGGAGGGGGAAGTTTCTAATTAACTAGAGGATGTTTTAAGCAACAATCGTGAAATAGTGAATGAAGAAAAGAAAGTATCTGGGAGTAAACAAATGTAACCAGACAAATCAAAATGACATTTTTATTTTCTATCATTCCTGTATAAAAGCGATCTTTGAAATTTGATTTTAGTAATAATAATATTTATATCAATATTTGTTATCTGAACACACGAACATTAAAATGAATTATAATTCAAATTAAACATAACATTATACTTAAAATTATACTATGTCTATACTGGCATAAAATATCATTCATTTCTGTTTTTTATTGTTCTTCTTATTTTAATATTCTTAAAGAAACAACAATGAAAATTCAATTACCTTTACCGTAAATAAAAAAATTGGTATAATATTATAATTACGATTTTCTTTATTTTATTATCTCGTGAAATTTAAATGTCAATTGAATATACGAACTGTCGAAGTATAATAACAAATCAGTGTTATTAATTTCACAAATAAAAGTATTTTTTTAATATCACTAAAGGTCCATCTAGATAAATATTTTCTGATTTTCAAAAAATCTGATTTGGTATAGCACTGGAGTAACTCATCAGTTATGAAATACAAGGCGGAATCCTCGCCCAAGAATTTCATAAGCTTGTTTTTTTGCAGCTGGGATTGTTGAATTTTTTATCGTTTCTTTTTCGGAGAAAGACTAAAGTTGTTAGACGGCTCGAGGAAATGTTCAAGGGAACGGATCCTCTTTTAGCCGAGGGAAGATCCGCTATTTCTTGGTAACACATACCCTATTCAGTGAATGTCGCTATGATTGATGTTGCTCGAAATTTTTGATGAACAAACTTATTTGAGGAGATAGGAAACAAACTGAAACATTCAGGATCTATGTAAATAACTTTGCTCGGTCTTGTCGTCGCGCACGGAAGACTGTCAGAAATCTTAAAGAAATGAATTTTATTGAAATAATTATCTGCTTTTCGATATCTTCCATATTTTCTGTGAAATTAATTTCAATCTTAATTTAAGTATGAGTAGTATTTAATTCTGTACAGATAAATTAAGATAATTCTCAATTAACATTTTGAAAATGTGTTCTTTATATCATTTTTATGTTAAAACGAATTATATAGAAATTAATTTTGTAACTAAATTCTTCTCTATACAGTGAAAAAAATTTTTGAAACAATCATATCTTTGTTTTTTTTTATTTCGTGTACAGGTCGAAATAAAATGTTTGAATAATCTTCCACCTGTTGCCGAATATTGCACTACCTAATCTAACCCAGACTTTTCGCAATGCTTTTGAATATGGAAATGAATGATTAATAAAGATTTTAATAATTACAATTAAACTGTATCATATCTTTTATTCTTTAACCATTCTATTTTTCCTTGGCAGTTTTAATTTGTTTTAAATATTTTCTTTAACAAAGCATTAGAATCTAGCATGTTCTTAACATGATAAAGTAATAATAAGCACGTTAATGTTTAAAAAGGAAACGGATATGTTATTCATAAGTAACTGAAAGTCATAAATAATTATATTGGAGTTTCCTCTGAGGTTTCTCTGAACTTTCGCGGAAAATGAGTTTCATTGGGTACAGTCTGTAAGGCTACATCGAACTTGTATCTTACAGCAAGTCAAATTCTTCCAAAAGTTGAAGTTCAAACTAATTCTAGGAAACCGTATCGTGTATTCCAAACACCTATGTACCATGCATTACGTAACTAAAACTTTCATGGAAACGTACATTGACGACAAATCGAAAACAACGTCGATTAAACTTGACAAAAGAACATGTAAGTACGTACATTGGAAGAGACAATTTCATACAATAGAATATTTAATGAAAAAGGTTTTAATACCGACCAGTCTGGTGGTAGTGATCATCATTATGATCTTATGAAAAAAGAATAATTGACAAAGGTGCGTTATGAAATGGTAAGGGGAAATAAGGATTACCCGTGGTTGAAAAAGTAATATCTATCGTTGACAGTTTGAGTCCCATATCACCTTTATATGAGTGATAGATCTTTGATTTCCAACTAAACGTTAATATTTATAACAGAGTAAAAGAAATGTAATTAAAGTCTCCGGATATTTTCTGTAATCACGCATTCGAAAGGATAAATTTTTCATTGTTTACTACGTACGAATGATTTTTTAAAGTTGTTTTTCTATATTTTTCTTGGATGGTAAAGTATGAACGTTTCTAAATAAGTGTACTGTTTCTACATGCAATAAGCACTAAAGATTCTAATTAATATAAATGTATTGTTTCCTTTAATTATAATAATTGTTGCTAAGTGCGTAAACACGTTAAGCGCTCATTAATAGTCCACGCTTCTGAATTGCTTGAAAACAATTACAATGTACAACATGAATTATATTGAATGAAAATGTTTAATAACGTAAATAAGCTGGTAATATTATATTGCAAGGGTTGTGATGTCAAATAATTAACAATTGTTCCTACATTAATTGTCTTTGGTACAAAATAATAGGTGTTACGTAAAACGCTGAAAATTATCATGGCAATCAAGGCGTTAACAATACCAAACGGTTCGGTAATCGGTTTATCGATTCGCAAGGTGTATCGGGAATCATACCTACCTTCAAGGAAGTGATGTTACTGTTCCCTTCGGGTGACTGCGGCGCGTAAGTGAATCTCGGCGGCGGCGGCGGGCTGGTAGTGGTGGTGGTGGTGAACGGTCTTTGCCTCGTTGAGTTAGGGAATCTGCCTTCGCCCAGTTTCACGCCGACACCCCGACCATACCCCATACCCTTCGCCTGAGACCCCCTGTCACTGGTGCCGATCTGAATGCCGCTGCTGCCCCTCGTCAGGCCGCCGGTTTGCTGGCTGCCGACTGCCAACAAAAGTGACAGGATCGCGTACAGCGACCACGAGCCGCTCATTTTTCAGCCGCTTTTCTTCGGCCCGCTTTTCTGGGAACGTTTATTAAGGGCGCGAGCGCCAAGGCCCTTTCACGCCTCTGTCGTCCGCTTTCACCGCGCCGCAGCCCTGGTCCGCGGGGCTTCCATTCAGGAAGATTGAGAGCTCAGCCGCGCTGCGTCGCCGCTTTCGCGTCTGAGTGCGCACACCTCGCGCTCTGACGAACCGCCATCGCGTGCCGCCGCCACTCCTGGAACAGAAATTGTTACGGTCGGCGGTGGCGGCCAAGTTTTACGGGATAATCGGATAACGGCTTAACCTATTACGCCCTGAATTGTGGCATTCTTACAGGTTCATTGGTAGCCTTATTTTCGATGTTTGGGAACTATTAACCCATTCGCAGCATTAGCGTATTTTTAGTGCTTATATTCGCGCTTTAACATTAACTGTACCGGCACTTTTTTTATCGTAACCAGTCAAATAACTAGATATAAATGAAAGGTAAACAAGTTGGACGATATATTTTTGCAATGGAAACAGAAACAGAAGGAAAGACAAACATTGAAAAACTGATTAATCTGATAATATTGAAATTAACCCCTTGTCCTATGATTTATTTCTGAACTATGATCGATACAATCAGTTTATCATTCATTAGGAGAAGGGACAATTTTGATGCTTGTTCTAAGTCTATGTCTACTCCAAAGGTTAATGATTGATGATAGATAAATAACATTTAACTTATCTTTTAAAAAAAAATAAATAAGACTTAGACTTCCCAAGTTCAGTTTAATATTTCTATCACAAGTCTAACACGATATTGTAAATTAAAGGGTCGAAAGAAAACATACAATTTTAAATGCGTTTGCAGATTGCTACATAATTTCTCTAATAAGTTCTCAGAGAAACGTATGTTATGTTTTCAATCCAAAGACCAAAGAAATCAGGAATGGGTAAATTTTGACCTGTCTGGTAGTTTTAGCGTTAATATTCTCAACAGTATCATACCTCGGTCATTTGTAAGATATCTGTATAAACGCGAAATTGAATATGCATAATATGTCGCGAATGATATACCCGCATTTTCGCGGAAGGAAAGGTTATAATTACGACCGGTTCGAGTTTGATAGCAGCTGTATTAAGGCGATTCTAATTTGAGTAGTGGAGGATACGGGAGGGTCCGTTTAAAGACAGTTAATTGCTTGAGGTTCCCTTTCCATTTTAGTGTTATTACCGTTATCTGGGTTGCATAGTTTCGCCGAGACTAGAATCGTTAAGCAGTTAGCGAGGGAGGCTTAAGAAGGACAACAAGATTAAAGTCGTCGTCATATCGGATCTGTGTATTAAAAGATTTTCGATTAAAGGATACAGCTGAAAATTTGTGATACGTTGAGTAAGATTGACCGATCGTCGTTTAATTCAAATATTGATAGTAACGAATTGGATTTATTACAGTATTTAATTATAAATTTTAATTCAACTCCGATGTCCCAGTTCATCAAATAAAACGTGCCATTTTTTGCGATAATAGCCTTGTCGCAAAGGATTAATATATTCCGGAGAAAAAAGTAATTATGAATCTGTAATGAAAAATGGACTAAAGTAACGGAAATTTTTCATACGTCCATAACATCTGGAGGATCGATATGCAAATGCATTCCCGATTTCATTTCGTCGTTGTGAAAATCGTTCGGAAATTTTCATCATCTGTCCTTTAGGAAGAAGGTTTTTATTCAAATGCAAATAGAAATTTCCGTTTAATAACATTCGGAACACACTTTACGTGTCATTGATATAAATTTTATGCGATGTAACGTTTAGGTACTACGAGTTTATACAAAATTTGAATCAATGAATCCATCTTTTCATAACGTGTTTCATGATGTAACGTGTTAATTACTCATTATCAGTTCAGTTTACATATTTACAACCGTGATTTTAATGCAAAAGAATATGCAATATATAAAAAGAATATATAAGCAATCAGGCACTCTTAATAGGTCATGTCTTTTAAGTCAATTCTCATGTCGTTTCTATTAATGATTAAATTGTAAACCTTCTTATTTACACCTTAAATCATCAGTATTTTATTTCAACTGATAAAATAACAATTTTAACAAATATTAAATTTACGAGTAAATGAATCACTAAATTATATATCCAATACATTATTTTTTATGCACAGTCGAAACTGTGCTTCTTTGATAACATTTATCTTTAATTTTCGATACAATTAACAGTTCTAAGAATTTCAGATAATAATCAGATATTTTAATTTTACATTGCACCACTATTTTATTAAATTGATAGTTACTAGTATGAGAAGTAAATCCTTAGTTGTATCTAATAAGCAAAATATATAAGGATAAAATAGCAGTTGCTTGGTATATTTTCATATAATAGCGATAGTGTTACTCAGTATGTTGGTATTCGCTAGCACATCTGCAACGAATTTTCACGTGAACTTAACAGACGCGCAAGAAAGGAGAATAGGGCAGAACGTGGATCACGCGCATCATATTTAGAAAATGTCCCCGGTCTCCGCATTCGATTGTTGAAGGCTTGTCGTTGATATTCCGTGCACGACAAGCAGACACGTGGAATTTCCATTGTTCTGGAAAGTTGAAGTTCTCGAGTTAAAAGCGGTAACTACTTCGCCTGCGAAGCACTTGCGTTCATTTACGTGTATTAGCTGCATTTAATGCAGAGTGCATACTCTATTGAATTGTTCAAGATGAATGAAGTTTACTATAATTCCGTACGAATGCTTGAAGTCGCCTCGAAATGAAAGATGACAGGTTATATAGAACTCATTCTCATGTGAAAAACGCAATTAATTTTTTTATTTGAAGATTTCATTTCAGGGAACTTATTTTAAGAACTTATTTTTAAGAATTTTAAGTTTAGAATATGAATAACTGTTGAACTAAAAATTAACTACCTCTATATCTCATTTCTGAGATAAAATTTCGGAAACATTTATTTCTATATACAAATATTGTATTTATAATTAATTTTGTTTTATGGCTAAAAAAAATGTTTTAAAGAAGATTACAGGATTTTGAAATTCATATCATAATCATTGATTAAATGTACGAATAATGGAATAATAAAGTAATAACAATTAAAAACCTTTGAATTTGTATCAATTTCAATAAGATGAACTTAAAAAAGGTGAATGATGTACAATTTTTATTATTAATTCTAACAACTAAGTGTTTTATTATTGAAAGAATAATTTGAAAGAAATTCATGACTACGAAACTATTTTAAAGGGAAGAGTTTTGCGATAATGAATTAGAAGAGGGAACATTACATTATCGCAGAACACTTGCGCCCTGCCGTGCGCATTGTCAGTTCATCGCAAAAAGATAGCAGCGAGCTTTCAGATAATTTACGGCATTTCATTCACGCTAATCCTTGAGTCGAGGACCATTTTGCAAGCGAAAATGTTTGTCGAGGAAATCTCGAACAAGAGGAGATTGTAGAAAAATGTGACTGCAACAGATCTGCACAAGGGATAATAGTAGTTCTCTTGGGATTTAGAATAGCGTGCATTAGTTTCCATGTCAAGATTTACCGTAACTACGTTCCCAGGATTACATATTTCAACTATCGTCATTACGAGCTTCACACAAATACTTCTTGTTTCTATATCGCGTCCATTACTCCGCTTTTATCCCAGTGAACCAAAGACCGTCAATTAAAATGAAATTAATTTTCGCGAACCTCTTCTGCCATTGTTTTCTCAATATAAACCATCACTGAAGAGTGTGGAATTACTTTTAATATTTAAAACATATGACGGAAAACAGAATAAAAATTAATATGAATTACCTATTTTAATACTTTTGATATTGTAATATCAATTACCTATTTCAATACTTTTGACATTGTAATATCAATTAGCTATTTCAAATAGTTTTTCCTTCAAAATATCATCACAAATTTTCTCAACGCACGGTTTCGTATGATAAAAACACACATGTTTTTACTTAAATAAATTTGACGTCCTTTTAAACTTCCATATAATAAAATACAGTAGTATACTAAACCATATAGAAATGATATACTTTCATGTCTTACTTATTAATAGTAATATTATGACGTACTTTAGTAATATTTATTAATAGCACATAAAAACAGGTATTATATGTATCTAATATGTATTTTAGCATTTTATTTTATAATATTAGAGAACCTAAAATGATATTCAATTTGTTTTAAATGGAATAAACAAAAAATTCTTTGGTTATAGATATAAATAATAGAATATTCGCCATCCTACTCAGCATTTTCGAAAAAAATGATAATTAGCAACTATGTAAACTCTCTGCTCAGTGATGGATAATTGCTATTGCCATTAGCACCCGACATAAGTACCTGCCTTTCGCACCCTTATTGTCAACCAGGAACATCGGATAACGATCCCGCTAATCCGTCTGCCTTCCGAAGTTTCCAATCTAATTTTACGTCTTATCAAAGGTGATTAATAAACTTTCCTAGTGCCATAGAACGGTCGTCCAGTTCGAACCGTTCCCGAAGTGTAATGAAACTTAATTACAGAACTTGTCCGAATAGTTCGATTGTTATGCAGTTTTACACACGTAAAAGGAACCAAAGCGGCGACTAAAACACGCTGATAATAATATGCATCGCGTTCGATATGAAGTGCACGACAATTATCCGCGTTTCAATTACTATGGGACTAAGTATTCTGGGAAACACGATGTCACCTGAGTGCTTCCATGTTGCAGAGTGGGAAGACTCGGTCATTTCAGTGTCAAAATGAAAGAGCTTCTGATGAAATTAAGATACAACGATGAATTTTATTTTTAACCAGGTAGCTGTTTTTGATAAGTATACACGTCATAAAGAAATGGCAAGATTTAGTATTATGACGAGTATCATGAGTAAAAAGTAGTAGCAGTTTTGCTATTTAAATTGCAATATTAGTGAAAACTAGAATATGTTCGTAAATTTTAAGATGTGTTAAATATTTGGAGGCTAAGAAATAAAACGAACAAATAAAAAAATGTAATTAATTATTATGAGATAACTGTATACAGTGTGAATAAAGTAGTTGTTCTTTCCTTTGTAAATGTATCATACAATCATGACATTACATGAAATTACTCTATATCACAACAGCAGATTAAACTAACTTATCACTTTTCTAAGTAACTGATTTTTCGTGAACTTTTTTCTTTCATATACAAACTGTATATGTTTAAGTTAAGTAAATGTTAG